GATGATGATGATGATGTGTGCAAGCCACTTGACTCTGAAGGGCTTGTTGCTTGCTTTGCTGCTTGTATGCTTTGCTGTTTGCTTTGGCTGACGTGGGAGGGTGTGTTTTTGAAGTGCACAAGAATCTTCGCTCGCTTGGTCGAGGAACTTGTTGAGAAACTGTGAGCTGCACATCAAAGTCAGAACAGCAGACAACGAGAACAGTGGTAGGAAGATGACGCACTTAACGCAAGCAGATCAACACACATCTAAACACATCTAAACACACTCCGCAACACGTGAAGGATCAATTGTGCAATTAGGAACACTGCTACACTTCTTCACATGAACACAAGCATGGATGACAAGCAGGGACGAGAAAAACCAAGAGCACTGCAGAGAGCGAACAAACGCTTCTCCAGCCTTGGGGAACAGTTGAGAGCAGCGAAAGCTGTTCGGAAGGAATAAAACGGAAGAGAGGAGACATGTGGCATGGAGCAGGGCAGAGGCACAAACAGAGGAGCAACAGAAAAATGCTCGCCAGGTGCCTCAAAAAAAGATGTACAATTCAACAAAGGCAGCGCAAGGGCAAAAAAAATGCAGTGCGATGCAGCAGAGCACAGCACTTGGCTGGTTCAAAGGGGTGTGGTGTTGTTGAGGTTGAGGTGAAAGAGATGTGGTCGCTGAACTAACCAGGAGAGAAAAGGAAAGAAGGGAAGAAAGGTGAAAGAAAAGTGAATGGGTTATGAAGTGGTGGTTGGTTGAAAGGGAAAAGACTCACTGACCCTGAGGAAGGTTGATCAGTCTGAGTCGTCGTCGTCATCGTCGTCATCGTCGTCGTCGTCGTCGTCGTCGTCGTCGTCGTCGTCGTCATCGTCGTTGCCGTCGTCGTCGTCGCTGTTGTTGTCAGGAGCGTCTGCGCTTGGGACGCGAAACGTGGACGAGAACGCTGGAGTGGTTGGAGTGAGCGGGGTGGAGCGGGACGCCGAGGATGTTGAGGCCAATGGTGTCGTGATGGGCGTTCCTTCTTGGTGAGGGTGTTCGTTGTGTGTCGTAGAGAGCAGCGGAGACGAGCCATCATCCACAGACAGCTCGTCATCTGGGTCATATCGGCCAAGAGGGGCCTGCTGCTGGTCTGGGTCGATGGTGCGAGATGATGCCAGGTTGGCCAGTAGCGTGTGCATGTCGAGCATGACATCCCCGCTCAACACGCTGTGGGTGTTGCGAGTGGCGCTCTCGTCGTCATTGCCTGAGCCATGGCTGTTCGCGAGGTCGTCACCCCGTTGACCAAGGAGGTTTGCGGGGACGAAGGGTCTTGCTGGTGTGGTGTCTGAGTGCTGTGATTCTTGCTCTTGTAGCGGGCCGAGAAACGGGATGGCTGATGGCAAGGTGGCCGCACGAAACCCTTGACGGGCAAGATGTGGTCGAGGCCGCTTGCGCCGCTTTCGCTTGCGCCGGTGTCGCTGGCGCCGGTGTCGCTGGCGCAGCTTCTTCGGCGAATCTTGCTTTTGCTGCTGGTTGCTGGAGCGTGGGGAAGAGCCACTGCGATCAGAGTGGAGTGCTAGCGACGCCTGCCGTTGCTGGTCTGACAGCGGTCGCGGTAGTGGCGGCGGTTGTGACGGTTGCTGTCCTTCTGCACGGCAGTCGCAATCCCGCTCATCACTATCCTTCTTGGTTTTGCTTCGGCGCATTCTGCAACTCTTGAACTCTTGGTGGCTTGGGAGAGGCGGGGGGGAGTGGGATGAGGAGGTGGGGGGAGGAGAGGAAGAGAGAGAGAGATGATGGATGGAGGGCAGGCAGGTAACAAAAGAAGAAGGGTGGGAGGAGAAGGAAGGGAGAATAGGGTGTGTGTGTGTGTTTGTTTGTATTCGAACCAAATGCGTGTTTGGTTTCAAACAAACGTTTCTTTGAGAACGCGACGCTTGTCAAACAAAGTACAAAAGTTAAGCAAGAGAGAAGGAGAGAAACGGGAGTACGGGAGTAGAAGAAATCCGAGGGTTCGTCGCCACAAGGGGCAAGCAAGGGCAAGCCTTCAGGGCAAGGATGGGATAGGGATTGGGAGGATATGTGGACCAAAAGCGGTTGTCTTTTGTCTTTTGTCTTTTCAACCTCGATCTTGCCTTTGGGGAATGTGATATCTCCTCCACACCAACCCCACAAAAAAACAAAAGCTGGGTTGCTTTGAGTTTTTTTCTCTGCTCTTGTGTGTGTGGCTGTTTTGTTTTTGGTTGGCTGCTGAGGCAAGAAGCAAAGCAAGACAGACAGCAAGAAGCAAGCAATAACTGCCACCGACACCACTATCTCGATCTGCTGCTTGCCTGTTGGAGAGGCGGTAGCTTGCTTGCTTGCCTGCAGGCACGTTGATAGGCAGCCAACTAGCCAGATAGCCAGGCCAACAAGGCATAACCACAATAAGAACAGGCCCCGCAGCACAAGGAGGTGTGTGTGAGGACTGCGTGGGTTAATTTGCTTGCCCGAGACATTGATGACTGTGGGTTCTACCAACACATATCGCTTTGAACAAGCACACCCCTAAAACGGCAATGCTGACCCTTGTACGCCTGGTTTGTGCTGGGCACTGTTGCACCCTTTTGCCTGGTATGGAATACTCACCTGCAGTTGCTTGGTTGTTGACTGTCTCGTCTCCTGGCCCCGTGACCACTCGTCGTGCCCCCAAACAAACACAGACAACCAACCACACACGTTTGCTCGCTGAGCGATGGATACAAGCCTTGACGAAGACGCGAGCGGCGACCCGGGCGCCAGCTGGCAAGGTCGCGATGTAGACAACAACACCGGGCCGCCGAAAGCGCACGCCAACGAGAAGGATTGGCTGCACTTTTCCGCACCAACCGACACCACACCTCAACTCGTCAACCCGGCGACGGTCCGCGTCGGATACACGCCAGCGCTCGCTCAACTATGTGAAGTTGCGGGCCAGCAAGCCGCCCCACAGAGCTCCAGCGCCATGCAGCACCAACACAACAACACCGGGCCGCCGAAAGCGCACGCCAACGAGAAGGATTGGCTGCACTTTTCCGCACCAACCGACACCACACCTCAACTCGTCAACCCGGCGACGGTCCGCGTCGGATACACGCCAGCGCTCGCTCAACTATGTGAAGTTGCGGGCCAGCAAGCCGCCCCACAGAGCTCCAGCGCCATGCAGCACCAACACAACAACACCGGGCCGCCGAAAGCGCACGCCAACGAGAAGGATTGGCTGCACTTTTCCGCACCAACCGACACCACACCTCAACTCGTCAACCCGGCGACGGTCCGCGTCGGATACACGCCAGCGCTCGCTCAACTATGTGAAGTTGCGGGCCAGCAAGCCGCCCCACAGAGCTCCAGCGCCATGCAGCACCAACACAACAACACCGGGCCGCCGAAAGCGCACGCCAACGAGAAGGAGTGGCGACTCTTTGGCACACCAACCGACACCACACCTCAACTAGTCAACCCGGCGACGGTCCGCGTCGGATACACGCCAACGCACGCTGAGCCATTTGTGGTTGCGGGCCAGCAAGCCGCCCCACAGAGCTCCAGCGCCATGCAGCACCAACACAACAACACTGGGCCGCCGAAAGCGCACGCCAACGAGAAGGAGTGGCGACTCTTTGGCACACCAACCGACACCACACCTCAACTACTCAACCCGGCGACGGTCGGTGGCGGATACACGCCAGCGCACGCTCAACCATTTGTAGTTGCGGGCCAGCAAGCCGCCCCACAGAGCTCCAGCGCCATGCAGCACCAACACCACAACACCGGGCCGCCGAAAGCGCACGCCAACGAGAAGGATTGGCTGCACTTTTCCGCACCAACCGACACCACACCTCAACTACTCAACCCGGCGACGGTCGGTGGCGGGCACACGCCAATGCGCGCTGAGCCATTCGCTCGGGCCTCCGCCACAACAGCCGCACCTCAAGCAGCAGTTTTTTCTCCCAACAACACTGAGCACACGCCGGACCGGCCGCATCCTTACGACTTCCGGCTGCAGCAACAGCTACGTTCGCGCGCGCAGCCACCGCCCTCGCCACCACTCCCAACGCAAACGCAAACGCAGGCGCGCACGCGCACACAAACACAAACGCAATCGCATGCACTAACACAACTGCAGCAGGATGGGATGGGCCAGCTGGGGACGGTGCGTCGCACGCTGCCACGTGCACAGCTGTTGTCTGGAGAACCCGCGACGTACCCGCTCTTGAGGGACGCACACCCTGTGGCGCGCCAGTTGCTCCGCCGCTCGCCCCCACAGCGCCCGCCGCCAGTGCTGCTGACGCACGGCCAAGCCCGCCATTCCATGGCCATCACGGCGCCGCGTGACTACCAGCAGCAACAAGCACAGCAGCAGCAAGCACCCGCCTCACAGCACTTGCAGCAGCCGCCTCCAGTCGGCAGCAGTGCCCACACACCAGAGCTCGTGCACCGGGATCACTTTCCACAAAGCCAGCAGCACGACGGCTTTGATGAAGCCATCTTAGCTGGCGTGCATGTGCTCTCGACCGCCAACAAGGCGCAGGTTCTCGCGAGCGTGGTGCAGCTTATGGAGCGGCGATACCTCCCCATTGCTGCAGGCATCCTGGGGCCTCTCTTCCCCATCGAGGACTACCTGCCGCAAGCCGACGCCGAGGAATGGTGCCGTTGCCGCGACGATGCAGCAGAGCGCGAGCGGCAGGCACAAACCAGAAACGCGCTGTTTGAGGCGGCACGCGACCGGGGCAACCGCAGGGACCACGTCACGGAGGAGCAGCTCCTCGTCCTTGCTGACGTCATTCTGGAGCTCGCCTTGCCCGACATGAAGGAGATGATGTTCATGCTGCCAAACGCCCACTTTGCGGCGCTCAACGACAGCATCAACGCCTCCCGCCTCTTCGGTGACCTCAAGCACGAGCGTCACCTGAAGAAGAAGCGGGAAGGTCGGCGGCGCAGGAGCCACCGCAACCGGGACTGAAGCGAATGCTGTCAGTCACAAAGGGGCAATTTCCCCCTCGATCTTTTTAAGATCGAACTCCTTGTGAGTTCTATCCAACCTTTCTCTTTTTCCTAATTGATCAACAGTATTGTTGTGTGTGTGTGTGTATGCGTGTTTGTAGATGCGTGCATGTTTCCTGTAGATGCTTGATGATGGTGTGATGAACGAACATGTTGTTTCGTTCGTCTCTCTTG